AGAGAGAGAGAGAGAGAAGGGGGAGGGGGGGGCAGCGCCTGACACAAGCGCCTGTGGCCTCCCTCCCGACTCGCTCTCCAAAGCAATCTTATTTGGAGCTGAAAAGAAGACGCAGCGTAGCTCAAGTGAGTTGGTGAAAGCGAGAGCGACGCTCTTTCTGCGTCTCGTGGCTCCGATGCTTCTCGGCCCTCCCATCCATTAATGGCATCCAAAGCTGCCTCCTTGGCCGCAGGTCTCGCTATCCTCCCTCCGCTCGCATTCAACGTTCCCGCCCCCGTACGCGAATGAGATCACGCCTCAGGTCTAAAGATTGTTTAATGCTTTTCTCCTCCGGATATACCTCCATCTGGTTTCTTGCGCTGCCGAGGCTCGCAGAGTCTGCTTTCTCATCTCTGTACTCAGCTAGCTCTTCCTTTCATGCAAACAGTGGGGAGGAGGAGGAGGAGTTGGAGGGCGATGAATTCCAAGGCGCGGGCGCCGTCCCTGGTCATCAAAGCTTCCCCGAAGCGCGATAAAGTAGGCTCCTTTGACGCAAATCCGAGACGGGTCTCTGTTTTATTGGGTTTTGATGCTCTTTGCCTCGGAAAAGTTAGCTTCTTTATTGCGAATTTGAGCCCAGCGCGGTTCTCTCTAGGCTAGTGAATCTTTTTCCTGAAACCGAAGTTTGATCCTTTTTCTTTAGCTGTTGATGCATACGGAATTGAGACGGATTGGCAATTTCGAGGTTGGCTTTTGAGAATACCTTTAAATCATTTGAACGCTATGGTTTCTTTCTCAAAGAGAGAGACTGTACTCTAGTTTCTTCTGGGAGTTTGAGGACAAATGGCGGTTTGCAATCAGAATTCGAAATGGGTTCAGTGATTTCCTTGGTAAAATTAAAGAAGAAAGCCGTATTTGAATTCTAGATGCGATCTCAGCTTGTTTCCTTTTCGAAAAGCTACTTCTTTACCATTGAGTTGTTGCGATTTTGTTGTCGTGTTCTTATGAGTTTTGTTGCGTGAAGGGAATCGACAAGGAGAAGAAGACTGAGATGCAGGGGAATGGATCGGTGGTCATAGCAAATGGACCCAACAGATGCCAATCTGGAAGAGAGAGGAAGATTGCTCTGCAGCAAGATGTATCGGTTCTTCTCTGAATACTAATCTTCGCGTTCCATACGATTAGCTTCTCTGTCCGTTTTGTTCGATTTGCTTTTATTGAATTGCTTCATCTCATCCTGTTTGCAGGTTGATAAGCTCAGAAAGAAGCTGAGGAACGAAGAGAACATCCACAGAGCCTTGGAGAGGGCTTTCACCAGACCTCTGGGTGCTCTTCCTCGTCTTCCACCATATCTGCCTTCACATGTAATTATCCTTTACCTTTTGCTTTCCTCACTCTCTCCTCTCTTTACGTATTCCAACCATCGGTAAACTTCCTTCTCAAGGCATCATAGAGCAGCAATTTCGTATCTACAGATGCCAAAAGAGGGTTAAATTGACTTCAAATTCTTTTCTTTTTCCTCAAGACACTAGAACTTTTGGCCGAAATCGCCGTTCTAGAGGAAGAGGTGGTTCGCCTCGAAGAACAGGTGGTGAATTTTCGGCAAGGCCTCTATCAGGAAGCTATCTACATCTCGTCCTGCAAGAAAACCAAGGAATTAGGATATGATGTCGACTCCCTTTCTCAAAACTCCAAAACCTTGGGGCAACGGAAGTCATATTCGAATTCAGCATATACTGAAGACTTGGCCTTCACGAAACAGCTAACCTCTTTGCAGTGGTCATCAAACACAGACCGAAATGTGCCTTCCTCTAATCAGTTTGTCGATGATAAGCTCTCCCCAAAGAAGTTGAAGTCATCTTTGGCCATTACTGAAAAGCAGCAAGGAAAAGAGAATCAAATAGGCGCAAACTGTCCTAGAAACTGTAGGCAATCTCCAGTAAGGAGAGCTTCGAAAGTAGGAACAGCTGCAAATGGAAACAAGCAGGCGGATGCACGGGTAACAGCTTTTGTCCTATCATAGCTTAGTAAAGATTTTTTATTTTTGTGACAAATGGCAAGTGACAAAGGCCGGGATTTGAATCCAGGACTTTGCAATAAACTATCAAAGATCTTTACCAACTAAGTTAACTGACATGTTAAACTTACTAAAATTTCTTCAGATATTGATGTACCTAATTTATTTTGTGTATGGCCATCTTTGTTCTTGTTGTTAATTCAGCCAAAGTGCAATTCCGTGGATAATGAAAGAACTGGAATAAACTTAAGGAGCACTTCCAGTGAAGCAAAATTGGACGAGTCCAATGCTCCAAATGAATCTGAGTCGAGTGGGCCGAGCAAACTATCCGAGGATATCTTGAGGTGCCTGATGAACATATTCTCACGGTTGAGTTCTCCAGGGAACACTAAAGAGCTGCTCGAGGCATCTCCTTCGGTATCAGGTTCTAGTGGGAGTTCAGAAGAAACTGATTCGCTAGACCCATACGGTATCTGTGCAGAATTTGGAATACGGGACATTGGCCCATATAAATATTTCCGAGCAGTTGAAGCGAGCTCGAACTTTCCAAACCTTCCCATGGGTTGTTCATTTCTTACATGGAGATTAAAGTGAGATCTCTGTTCTTTACTTGATTCGCCATTCCATTATTCAAGTCTGATGACTAACATTTAGTTGCTTCTTGTCCTTAAAGTGCAGACGTTTGCTCAGAGAGCTTGCATCAGTGGATTTATCAGGTCTCACACATCAGCAGAAGATTGCATTCTGGATTAACATTTATAATTCATGCATGATGAATGTAAGCTGTTAACTAGCATAGTTAATCTAAAAATTAAAGATCATTGGGAACTTTTCTTTCCGATAGTCTAGTCTTAGAGATCTCGGTAGTCTAAAAAATCATGATATATGCTTGCTGTCCCATTTTTGTGAAAGGTAATTATTCTGAAGCTACAAAATATATTGTGGCTTTCTTGTGGGCTGACAAAGAATGTATTGTCATTCAGCTCTAGTATGTCCTAGACTGTTTATATAATCATGAGAAAAGCTGAAAGACTTATAGACACCCGAAAAGCCGTCTTAAGTAATTTTTTATATTCTATGCTACTTCTAATCTCAGGCATTTCTCGAGCAAGGCATTCCTGCTAGTCCTGAGATGATTGTTGCGCTGATGCTAAAGGTACGACGTCGGATCCTTCTTTTCACTTTTCTGGATCAAATAAGCATTGCTTAATTGGATTATGAATGCATATCTTTAATGAAGAATTCTAATGCCTTCCTACTGTTTACAGGCTATGATTAATGTGGGTGGTCACATGCTCAGTGCAATGACAATCGAACATTTCATTTTGAGGCTGCCTTACAGTTCGAAACATGTAGGATATCATTTAGTCTTTGTGAAGATTGATATTCTGTTTACTGACTAATCCTTTTAAAATACCTAAAAGGTCTTCCCTAAAGGATCTAAAAGTGATGATGTAACAATGCGAGGCATATTCGGATTAGAATGGCCTGAACCCTTGGTCACATTTGCACTTTCATGTGGAAGTTGGTCATCACCGGCTGTAAGTTTCCCCAGACACACCTTGTTGTGTAAATTATGCATATATGCTCTATGGCTTTGTCACCTTTGATCGCTAGCATTAAGATCTGCAGAGTGAAGTATGTATTTATACATTAAACAGAACATGTACGTGCATCATGCTGTATTCCTGCCACAAAATAAGCAGCATTAAGTTAGGATGCTAAGATTTTCAATGACTTTTGGTAGCCCCTCTTTGCATCTGAAATTTTGGCATTTGAATTGAAGTTTAATCTTAGGGTCATAAAAGAAATTGGAAAAACTATTAAGAGCTTTCTATACTAAATCACATAATTCTGGCCCTGACAGGAGTCTGAAACAGTCTTAAAACTGATCGAGTGACTTCGCTGACAATTTTCAGGTGAGAGTATACACGGCAGCTAAAATTGAGAAAGAGTTGGAAAGAGCAAAAAGGGATTATTTGCAAGCATCCATTGGTATATCCACACGAAACAAATTAGCAATTCCTAAGCTGCTTGATTGGTACCTACGAGATTTTGCAAAAGATGTGGAGTCATTAATGGACTGGATCTGCTTACAACTCCCAAATGAGTTGAGGACCGAAGCAACTAAATGCCTAGAAGCGGCAAGAGGAAGTCCCATTCAGCAGCCAATTCAAGTTCTTCCATATGAGTTTAGATTCAGGTACCTTTTTGCTACATAGATGACTCTCTCCACCTTACAGTACAATGTAGCTGATGAAATCCCATGGTTCAATGATTTGTTCATATCATTATTATAATAAGAACATTGAAATTTGTTAAATCTTTGTATCTTTTGATTGATCTAGTAGTGGATTGTTGTTCTGTTTTCCTGTATGCATGCCCGTATTGGGCATGCAGCTGCTGTAAAAGATGGTACAGAAATATTATTGATGAGGTTCAACTATGATTAAAAAAATCAACCGAGCCGATTGTATTCAGCGGATATACTATTTATTGTTCAGAAAAAAGTCATTATTTCAGTTATGTGTAGATATTGGTATTAGACTAATTGCATGAAGATGGATGATATCTGTTCTTTCTGAGGAAAAATATGTACAAACTACAGCTATATCGATAAGTTGCTTCGTCTCAATACCATAACCATGATATGTTAGTACAAACAAACCCTGCATGACACTCTATAGCACGTAATGGTGGCGAATTGATGTTAGTACAAACAAACCATGATAAGTTGCTTCGACCCCTTAGACTAGCTGTGACCCTAATGACAACCATGATTAGCCTTCATGCCAAGGCTGGAGATTAGCTTTGGAGAACACTGTGTTGGATTCATCTAAATAATCTGAAGTCTCTGAGGTTCTGTTATCTGTCATTTTTCTAAGTTTTCCTTGGAACAGTCCAGACTAAAGTGCTTTGATGTTGGAAAGATTGTGAGAGGTGCCTGACAGGCTTCTTTGGGTATCCAATGAACATTATACAGCATGGTTCCTGTTATTGTCCTCTGTGATAAGTTATTGGACTTCCAGGTTTTGTACTGATGTTCCAGTCCTTTCTTGTTGACATCGAGTGCTCTCACCAATGATTGCTTTTCATTCATTCTGTAGTTATTGCTGCTTCTGAACAGTCTAATGTGGGAGACATCTATGTGAGCTAAACTCTGTTCACTGTTGAACTGATACTCCAATATCGATAACACTAGCAGATGCCATTTTTATAATATCTGCCTTTCCAAGGTTATTGTTGCTTGTTGTTGCATTAAAGTAACACTTATCCATCATGATCAAATGAAGTTGCTCACTCCATTTAATTGCCCAAATCAATTAAACCAGATGAAATTACACTATTTAGGCTTTGCTATTTCATGTAGAAAGTATTTTCCATGTTGAACTGTGTGTGCACATGAGATCAGAAAGCAAATGATATGTGAAACAAGAAGACAATTTGCTGTCTGTCATATCTGGATGGGAAGTAGTTCACTGCATTCATTGCATCAGATAGCTTAGCCACTTTGTGTATCTGAAGCATGAGTTATACAGTCTGAAGCTAGTAAGATAAGCTACAAACAGTTCAAATGGTAGAGAGCAGTTCTGAGATACTGTAACCATGAGGATTATAGGCTAGTTTGGAATAAAACATGTCAAAAGTAAACAACTGTGTGATGGAAGTAAATGGCAAGGTTAATACCAATTGTTTCGCGAAGATCATGCATGATTCATGGTTGTCAAAAGGATTAATTGCAACATGAAGCATAGATCTCTTTCGCGGTCTGGAAAGACTGGAAAGCTTGCAGAGTTGGGTCTTTACTAATTTGCATAGGTGCAGTTTCATCAACAAGTCATAGAACATGAAGAAATAAAATGATAACAGGTCCAACACTTGGCTTGGGCACCTACTTGGCTGGAACAAACTTGAGGGATTCTGAGTTTTAATCTCATTATCCAGATTCTTATTCTTTTTTCAAGAGGGAAGTGAGACACTAATGTTACTTTTGTGACCCTTTCACTTGAGAAATGCACCATATGATGTCTATGATGAAAGTGAATATGAGATACTGGTGAGCATGTTAATCTGATGCTGGCAGAGGGCATATGAATGAGGACTGCAGCAGTATTGGTGGCATGTAACTCTTTGAGACAGCCTAACTCAAGATCTCTGGTCAAAAGAGAATACAGTGGTGCAATACTTAGAGAATGAGAACGCTTGTATTGCAAGATAAGAAACAGAGTCTGCAACTTGTAAGAGTGAGTTCCTCCTCAAAGCTCAGTTACCTGCTAAAGACCCTACTGATTACATAACTGGATGATCTTGAATCGTATGTCAGCTCGATCATATTCCAAATCACGGCCATGTTGCTGAACCAAGCTCACACTCCCGATGTCGCTGACCACTTCCATGCACAGCAACTCCCATCCGTAATATGTGCAAGTTGTGGAGAGGTCATGTGTCTTCCTTTAGCAGCTTGTCCGCCCATCGCAGCCCCACCATCCACCATGGCATATGATGCAGACAGAGTACTTCCCCAGAGCAGTCCATCTCCATGAAAATGATCATGAACAGTGCACATAAACAGATCAAAACAGTACAAGAACAACATGAGATATTGCTCTTCCTTCTTCTCTTCTTCACTGGCGATGTGTTTCTTGGAAATGAGAAGTAGGTGACGAATCACAGACGCAAATGCAGGGAAGGCATCACATGGCACCGGGGCCACATCAAGACACTGCTCACTGTTGATGGAAGCCCTCGGCTCGCTTTGGAGACTCATGCTTGTCCCACGTTCGTCCTCATGAGGTCCTCCTCCATGTGGTGCTCCCATCTCAACCGTCACACATCAACAAGCATGGGGAAAAGAGACCATCTCTGTAGGCCTCCCACTGCCACACTCCAAAAGATGATTACGATAGAGCCTCCTGTGGCTACAGACCATTACAGTGTTGGATTGGAAATGATAGAGAGATCTACTTAGCCTAATGAGCAGCGCTAAACCATCCTCACGCCCAATCGCTTCAGAAGAGGTACTGTTCATCGACAATGATGAATCATGCACCTGTAGTCCAACATCTTAATCAAATGCAGACATTGGTTCATCTGACTCCGATTCATCGACACTATTTGGGTTCTCGTGTTCCCTTGTCGTCCACGAGAACAAGCATGCGACAATGTGGAAGATCTTTGGGCGTCCACTGGTGTTAGCAGATGCAATTCTTACTTGGGCTGTTGCTGCGATGAGACTAACCACATTCGATGGTCCCTATCGAACACCTCTTGAATCATCACTACAACTTTCTTCCTTCTCAGTTCATACAGTTTGACCTCAGTGTCTTTGCAGTACTTGACATAATAACTTGCGCCCAAGAAGACAACTCCACTTCGTTATGTGAAGAGAAAGGCAAAGCTACATTGAGTTGCAACAGGGATTAGGTTATGCAGTGACATTTCTCCAAACATTTTGGTCACAGCATCGAACTATCGCATGTGTTGTCCCAAACAAATTCCTTATCACGACCTGGTGATGTGGGCGACATGGCTGTGAGATGACTGACGCAAAGTGTAGCTGTACTCAATGAGAAAGAAACAAAACGACTTTGGGGCTTCCTCATCAAGCTTTATCAATGCTATTCTTCCCATGAAACCCATACGTAAAGAGGGATGCAATGAACAAGATCAGGAGAAAGAGTTCACACAAGACGTCTGTCTACCTATTCATTCTCCAACAGTACAAATCAAGTACTCTCTCTCTCTCTCTCTCTCAAGTATAAAGGTTACAGAAAAACAATCAAGCTGCAGTTCTTGGTGTGACCAAGCTGGATAACGAAATCATTATTGATCATTATCTTGTCACAAAGGTTGACTTATCATTGATGTCTTTACTTTATGCTTTCCACGGATGATGAGAGAAGAATGTGTCATGGAAGATATATCTGGAGGAGGGTTCATACCCTGATGGTTAGTGAGGCTCGAAGAAGGGAAAGCATAAAGCCAGCAAAAGCCAATATAGCAGAACACAGGAGAGGACCCTTTTCCTCCTCCTTTCCTCCTCAATGGTCCAAGTGGTCCGACCTCCCACGCCTTATCGCATCTACCCTTTGCCCCTCCAATCTTTCCATCACTAACCTTGGTCACATCCAACCCAACTTGTTGCGTGCCCTCTCTTCCACTTTAACAAAAGCTAAAAGATTCCATGGACAATCAAACCAACCACCTTCCAACCCTTCTCTCTCTCTCTCTCTCTCTCGCTCTCGCCTCTATATAGGTAATTAACTCGGTCCTCTGCCTTCTCATGGAGATACAATAACTTGCACCGTATAGAACTCCCCTGGCTACCATCTTCTTTAACTTGTAAACGTTGAGAGCGAGCTCTCCACCGGATGCCATCACTGACAGAGACACCAGGAGTGATGTCACTGCTCCGGCACGCCACCGAAGGCCGCCGGTCCAAAACGGGCGGCGGAGGGGTCTTCAAAATGTTCAAGCTGCTCCCCATGTTGAGCTCTGGTTGCAAGATGGTGGCGCTGTTGGGCAGGCCCAGCAAGACATTGCTGGCCGACAAGGCGATCGCGATCACCTTCTTCGGGTACCGGCGGGGAAGGGTCAGCCTGGCCATCCAGGAGGATCCGAGGTCACCTCCCTTCTTCCTCATCGAGCTGCCCATGCTCACCAGCTCTCTCCACAAGGAGATGGCCTCCGGCTTGGTCAAGATCGCGCTGGAGAGCGAGACCCGGACCATCAAGAAGAAGCTGGTGGAGGAGTACGTGTGGGCCGTGTACTGCAACGGCCGGAAGTCGGGGTACTCGATAAGGCGGAAGCAGGTGTCCGACGAGGAGCGGCACGTAATGCAGCTGCTGAGGGGGGTGTCGATGGGCGCCGGCGTCCTGCCCTGCCTCTCCGAGAAGGACGCGGCCGACGGGGAGTTGACGTACATGAGGGCGCGGTTCGAGAGGGTGGTCGGATCCAAGGACTCGGAGTCGCTGTACATGATCAACCCTGATGGATCCGGCGGGGCTGAGCTGAGCATCTTCCTCGTGAGGTTGAAGTGAAGAGAGAGCTCGTCTCGGCTTTGTGTGCTTCTGTATATATTCCCTTCTCACTCCTAATCTTCCATCTTTTTGCTCGATTGGGTTGTCTCTGGTATAACAAATCAAACATAAACCTCGAATAACTTGTGATTTAAATGGTGGAATTCCTCAGAGAATCACGTTTGAGTCCATTGCGACCTTCATAATTGGATGGAACTGCAAACCCCTCCATCCACCACTTCAATACCATGCCTACTACTTCTCTTGTGCAGTGATCAACACGAAACATTGGAGTTACTACTCCCTTTTCTCCCTTAATCTTCTCTTCCATCTTGCACCCATTAATTGACTATATCTTGACTGACTTCAAAAACCAAAAAAAAGAAATGCTATACATTAAGCATGAGAGAGAGAGAGAGATTTATCTCCAATTCTTGCAACCATCAAATAAACAGAACATATGTAGCTAAATGTTGACTTTAGAGAGAGTGGGATCATGTCAACCATTGGTTTATAAATTATCCAATATCTCCACCTTTTAGGATATATCATGATATTGTAATTGGCATCTACCAACTCAGGGCTACGATTACTGATTATATCACTTTTTTTTAATAAATAAAAATCTAATTTTGTCTATCAAAATCATTTTGTGTTGATAAAGTCCACTTTTAGTGATGAAACATACCTTAATACACACATTCGTATGTGATTGTGTGGTATTGTTGGCATTAAAATATGTTCAAAACAAAAGCACAGATTTGTACGTCAACAACAAAGTCGATAAGATGGCTTGGAATGACTAATGATTGTAAATATTAAAAAGGTTTGAAAAGCCATTACCAGTCAAAAGGTTTATTATTTGTCATGAGAAAATCTTGACAAGAAACTTTATGGCAAATCTAACCATGTTTCATAGTACAAGACTATTCTTAAATTTCATTTCTTTTTTTCCTTGCAATGAAAGTAGGTTGTTTTATTTTATTATTTAAGGTAAAAAATATATATTGCAAAAAGTTCAAACAAGTCACTTGACATGCTAATCTTCTTGGACCCAAAATAATATAAGGTGGTTTTTACATATTTTTCACCATCATATTATCCCTTTAAAAATTTAGATTTTGTAAATATATATATATCCCTTCAAGTATTTGAATATCTCATATATGTTACTCTCATTAACATCCATCTAACAAACTCAAGTTAATTAATTGAATTTAATAAAAAATTTACATATCTAAAATATCTTTTATTATGTTCATAAATTATTTAATCTCTTATATTTTCTAATAATTTTGAAAGGCATATCAATATCGACTTAAGACTCAAAATCATTATAAATTAACTATTACAATATATTTATAAGTATTTATATATATGTATGTATGTACGTATGCATATACGTATATAACTTAAATTTAGAATAGAAAACACAAAAATTATTGACTTTTTGAGATATACACATATACATATAGATTATGTAATTTTGCACAAAAAATTTCTATAGAATTCTGTTTGGCTTATTCAGTTTTTGCTGTTCATTTTTAGTTTTTTTTTTCCATTAAAATACTGCATAAAACATTATCTTTTGACTGTTCATATAACACACAAACATGTCTTGTTGTGGACATCTTTACCTCTCTTCATCTCCATATCCACTCAACATTTCATGATAGGCATTTGGAGGCTTCACATCTGCTGCTACTATTCACAAAAGATATGATCACCTAACTTCACAAGAGCATTAAATTGCCACCATGCTGATCTAGAAGAAGGCCCTCTCCATCAATCAGCATCGAGCATGGCTTTCATACAGCTCATTCTATCCTCATCTGTACTTTGGGAGTGCATGAACATGGTTTCGGAGGCACAGTTGAGCTGCAAAAAGCTGGTGACCTAAAGGAGCTCCCATGAGAACTTATGGTGGTGTCTGCTTGGGGCCACAGTTTTGACTCAGTGATAAAGGAAGAAGATAACCCATTACACATTCAATCATGGAGGTCTTGCAGTTGCATGCTCATGTAATATATACGTTCACAGATAAATATACTTTGCATGGTTATTCTTAATGTTGTCTTGGTGAGTATTGATTGTACTTGGAAGATGGCTGAGTAAATGATACACAAATGACACTGTACATATTTGTATTTCTGTGTATATTTATGTATAGTATTTATTACATACATAAATGATACACACATTTTATATTATATCTACATCAATGATAACAGGTAGGGTGTCGAGAATTATTAAAAATAGCTACATACTTTCTAGTTTTCATATGTTCATTCAAGTTTTCAACCAATTTTAATTTAAGATTAAATTAAAATATTAAATCGTCCCCTTTAGCCTCATCCATATGGTTCCATTAAATCCAATCAAAATAAATCTTGATAGGTAGCAAAATCCAATGGCAGGCGACACCGGAATGGGGTTTGTGACATCAAAATCCAATGGTAAGCGACATCCAAATGGTGTTCATTTTGCTTAGTTAAGTTGACAATGATGAGAGATCATGTGAGGCTTGCAACTCCTGTGTGCCTTAGACAAATCCAAATGCATGCTAGTTGTAATAACAAAGCAAAATAATCTAATCGTGATATAGAGAAGAAGGATACATTCAACCTTTATATGACATGGGATATTTCATATATATTTCAAGTAATATTGCAGTATGAGAAGAAGGTCTAATTAGATGCATCTATGTTTTATTTTGCTGTTAATGGACTTGCAGCCCAATTAGAAGCAAAAAAAAGCATCTTCTGTAGTATGAGAGATTTCCAGTGACTCGTAAAATAGGATTCATAGGAAGTTAGCTGCGGTCGTCAGAGGCCCATGAATACTGACCAATGAGAAGGCTTCCTTCGGTGTACGATGGCTCGGCTGATACAGGTGAGCACACAGAAAAGACTACATATAAAAGACTGGAGCTGCCATGGAGAGACCGACTCAACCGTGAAATCTTGCAGGGGTGACTTTAACTCGGGCCCGTGACAGACTACGCCAGCCCTGATAAGTTTCAGGGAAATGGTCCTACTCGATTGCAGAACATAGTCATCGAGTGTTCTCGGAACTAAACATTTGATGCATCAGAACAGTGTCGGGATGATCAAAGGCAAAGTTCTCTAGTTTCTCTGCTATTTGTGTTGCAGGAGATACGAGGGTTGTAGCTTCATTCATGGCCACAGCATCTCAAGGCACTGTGGAAGCCAACTTTGTATCCACAGAGACATGTAGGGGAATCATTCCTTAAACCTCCAAATCATTGGCCATATAGCAATAATATGTATCATCCTTCAAGTCCCAAGGTGGTGGCAGACAGTAGTAGCAGAAAGAACAATGTTCACTGGTTCACATACCACACATGCTGGTTCATAAGCATCTAAACTATTACATACTGCAATCCTCTTACTACAACTGGACCAGCTTCATACATAATATACCTGCATTACTTTACAATTAAGATTCCACAGCTGGTGATGGCTGCAAGTTTTCTCCTCAGCTGCATAGCCTCCTCTTCCAACACTAGCTGTTCATGGTTTCATCTAGCAGTAAGGAAGCCTGTGCCAGAAGAAGCAACGGGCTTGTCACAAGAGAAATACCATGAAATCTCTTCATGGTTGGCAGAAGAGATGTGATGGCATACGTTGACTTCATCAACATATGATCTCTTCGTGAAGAGAAGTAACATGGTTTCATCTAATGTTTGATTGCAGGATAGCATATGTTGACTTCATTAACATACCCGAGTTTGAGAGATGTGACAGAACTGTCATCACATTCCTGAGGCCCTCCTGGGTGTAGAGCATTGGTGACGGATTCAGAGGATTGTCCATCTTCGTTGACAACATTCTCTTTCTCAGCCATGATGTGCTTCCCCAGGTTGGGCATCTCCATCGCCTGCACCCCCTAAAATCTTCACTCATTCAGTGTGGTTGAGAGAGGAAAAAGAACCTGCAAGCTTGGTGGTCATGGACTTACACGTTGTCTTAGCCTCACATTTTCTTCAGCCAGCTGCAATGCCTGTGCACCAAAGAAATGGCCAAAAGTCATCAAGAGAAGTAGATCACGAGACTTAATATTGATGCATCTCTTTTACCTTTTGTTGAAGAGTACTAATCTGTTGCATGATCTGTGTACCCTGAGAAGGATCAACATCAAGCACGGTTGGGTTTCAGATGTTCTTACATGCCAAAATGATAGAAATGGATCTATCATCATCATCACAAGGTTTACCTTTCTGTCGACCACACGATCTAATCCTGTTTCAAGGGTTTTCTCCAGCTGCTGAAGCTCCTCCAGTGTCAGACTTTCAAGTGCCTCCCCTCTCATCTGCCTATATGGGCATAGCACATTTAAGGATAGGACATGATTGAGCATTTGACATCCCATACATCAGATGTATCGGCAGACCTTAGTTGGAGGCTTGCTTCTGCAACTTGTTTCTTTAGACTTACATGCTTGTTGTCCAACTGAAGAAGGGCAGGAAACGTACTCATGTTAATTGGAAGTACCACAAGTAAATCAATGTAGTAAACAATAATAATACTTGTGTGAAGTCTTACGGCAGCAACAGTAGTGTCCAACTACAGTTGGATTATATATATAACATGGACATCGAGGACAATGCAATAGAACAGATTGGAATAAGCGCCAAATGCATATATTATTGGCTAGAGACTCGATTAAGATACTAATATATGACATGGAAATAAGTGGAGTGTCCCATTTCATCCAGAAACAGCTGAAGTTTCAAGCACTATTTCCAACTCATTGGCAGTGTAGGGGTTCTTCATGAAAAATATATGAAGAGCATAATGCAATTGTCTTCTCAAGCAGAGACCATGGTCTCCTAAACCCAGCAACTAACATTAGGTCCTAGTGCAAGAGCTACTTACAGAGGTAAAAGAAGTAGAAGATTCATCCAAGAGGAGTCTGAAGGGAGTAGTTCAAAAAGTTCTTTGGCATTTAGTATTATTCAATTCATTTATTTGCCGACACCAGCATTACTAGGTACAAATTTCATAGAAATAAATTTTAGGCAGTTGATCACTCTTCTGCTGTACCAAAGTAAACAAAAAATAAAAAATTGTATTCGACTGTCTGGTTTCTTTCATCAGTTTAATCTGCTTCTAGAAAGAACCACTGTGATTCTTAAGAAATTACTATGTTATTCGGTCAAATACTTATTTTTAGAAGGCAATCAATAATGGTTAACTACTGTGATTTTTAAGAAGTCACTACTTCTTGCAATTTGGTATTTTTTATTGAGACAATGATGATTAAATTTTCATAATTGTAGAACAACCTATGCCAAAAAAAGATTGGTGAATGGCAAAAGGCAGCAATCTGACTTGTCTTTGTTAGTCATTGTTTAAATGATAAAACCGGATAATGAAAGAATAAATTCCAAAGATTCAGTTGACTGCCTAAATTCCTGTGACCATTTAGCTCTACCAAAGACAACCCTATATGGTGTATCTTTTCCGAATAAGACAGATGTTGCTTCTTTTACAGACCTTTTTTCTTTCATGTTACAACATTTCAGAAACTCCCAACTGTATCTTGCATCACCGCATGCACCTGAGTCCTTGTGATTCCACGTGTAAACTACATTATAATCATGCATGTAGAACTCCCTTGGTAACACTCTAAAAAAACCCTCACTTCACCTTTTATACATCTTATGATTCTTCCTCTGCTGGAAAAAAAAGAACAATCTCCTACTCATTTCACTTATGAACTACCATTACTTTCCAACTTTAAGGCAGTCTTGCCTGAACATAAATGTTTAATGGATGGTTGCCATTTGTTTAATGATGCATAACTGAAACAACTTTCAAGAACATTGCTTTTTTCTTTCTTCTTAGGAGTTTGATATAAGCTCTAATGAAAAGGAATCAAACTAGATACTTACATTTAAGTCGAGGGAGAGCTGATCTTGTTTCTCTAGATTCTTGGAGTGTGTGCTATGCTTGTCAAGGATCTTCTTCATGCTTCAAAACAAAGAAGAAATAGTATTTGTTGGATCAAAATGTGTTAATTCTTGAAAATTTAGATCTTGTTCATGGGGATATAACTTCTTCATATAACAGGCAGTTGACAATAATTCTTTGACAACATGCAATGTGATAAATTCGATTGATCGACTATCATAAATATATTCAGAGAATTTTCTCCTATAAAATGTCTTCCGAACGATAAACCTTTCAGCAATGAAGGAAGTCAATATGCAGGTCAGAAGTTGTGGTCATTTATTGTTCAGTAATCTTGTTGTTTTGTAAAATCAGTTCTCTAAGAAATAACTGATATTAGGATATCCGATAAACAAAAAAGCATCAAGTCACATTTTCATTGAAAGATAGATGAACTGCAGTATGTTGACTATGCCTTGGCAACCATCTGGAATACATTAGTAGCATTCTCGGTTAATGTTAACAATTTGTTCAACCGACTTACATCCTTGCGCTTTGTTAGCCTTTGAATTTGGAACAATCTAATTTTTTATAAATTGGTTGCAGAAGATGTACATTGGAGTGCCAGTGCAGGCCATTGGTGTAACATTAGGCTATATATTGATATAGTATGTGAGCTTTGTTACTTGAAGTGCACACTGTGAACGCAAGAGGGAAAAACAAAATCTCAAAACAAGGCATTTGGTGGTATAAAGAAGAGGACAGACCACAACATTTGGTTCAGCGTAATCAAGAATCTACAATAGATTCTTCAAAGAGTAAGGAATGAGATTAGAAAGGCAAAGAAAAGGGCAAATAAAACAGCAGATAACAGTGAGCAATTCTTGATGATAGCTATTCCAGCTGTAGTGTCAATTTCATTGCTTAAAATCCAGGTCAAGGTGCAAAAGAAGATAGGATTCTCGAGCATTTGTAGCTGTATCACAGCTTACCATGTTTATCATTGTACAAGGAGGATTTTGATCATAAGACCATACAATTAGAGCTAGATGTATTTTTGTTTACGGATGAGATGCTAGTAACCATGTCAAACTATAACTTAAGGATGATGATGGTGACTAAATTATTCCATTTGGAATATGCAAGCTATAGCCTAGTTTTCAAAATCTTCCAAATCATTCTATCAATTCATTGTGCAGTAGAGTTTACAGTTACCAAGCAAACAACACCTTGACATCATTTTTTCTTTTTCTTTGAATGGTATGCATGAGGCCTAAGTCATACCTGTAATATACCAAACATATACACAACATTGGATGGAATGGCATGTTGTCACGTTTAAACAGATCATGAAACTTTGAAAGACCACGTGAATTTCTTTATGTTTGTACGCCAGCCTAAAGGTCTTAACACAGCTAATTCCAGGTTACCAACTATTACAGTGTGTTCTTAATTCTTCCTTGTTCTACATAGTGTATGTACTATGTAGAACACTATGTAGATATAGTTTGTGGGTGATATTAGGGCTGAAGCATGCAAGTGGATATAGTTTGCTTTGAATGCTTGCTAGTTTGATGCCAAACAAGAAATTAAGATATCGGCAGGAGCGTTGGATGCATTGTAGAGAAGTATGTAAATGGTAGGATTGAAGAAGAATAAATTCTTTAGGTTTGGACGTACATATGGATGAGAACGAAGAAATCTCTCTTGTCGCTATCGAACCTAATGATGAATTTAGTTGTGCACAAAGGTATATATGTTCTAAATGGATTCAAGTAACTTTCACAAACTAATAGTTAAACACTTAGTTCCGAAGAGCATAGACAAATCATAGTAGACGAATAGTAGATTACATTAGTCAAACTAGTCAAAACTATCGTTTATTATTAGTCAATACCTATATACGAGTCCTATTTTCTTTCCAACTCTTAGAAATATGAGACTATGTTTACTCCTATTTCAATCTTTATGTCACTCATGAATCTTTTCCGAGATCACTGATACTACTCATTGGCTCCTCTTTGGAGGACTGTGACAAACGTGCTAACTTCGATGAGAGTTGGGTCTCGAACTATGGTTTGCTTGGACTTGTGTTGCTATGCAGGAGTTGTATGCTACCGTAAAATAAATTACAGTCAACAGCAATTGTGATTCCTAAACACTAAATATATCACAACCTACCCTCAACAACATATGATTAACTAGCATCAAATATATAGCATTTGGATTCTATCATCATCGGAAACATAAACAAGCAAGGACTAGAAACCAGTAAATTGCTAGCTTCAGCAAACTAGTGATGGAAAGCAATATATCATACCATATTTTGCTTCAGAAAAAAGAAAAGAAAAACACTCCATACTCAGAAATGCATGGAATTCAACAAGCAAGATAAACCAAAACCATGTATGTTTCACACACGGTGAAATCCAGATGACGTTCATTAACCAAGCCTTCAAATCAAAACATGCATCCACGTCGGGTAAATAGAAAACATATATAAAGAGAGAACTGTTGGTGACTCCCATTCCGATATTTATAGTGTAGCTCAGGTTGTTTATCGGATTGTTTCAGGTTCTTATGGTTGATGGTGCAACAGTAGAACTCTGTTCTCATGGCCACTACTACTTCCGATCAAGTCCATGGAAGCTATTGGAAACCAAAGCCTCTGATCATGATATAAATCCAAAAAAATCCACCAATAATCTTTCGATTCCAAGTACACAAGCGCCTTCTTTTCAAGAAGATCTAGCAAAAAACCAAAGAAGATTTTAACTCACGCTACGAGTCAGCAATATAAATGACCTAAACACATATCCGGAGAAACTTAGTCGTCATGCTATGTTTCCTGTAAGTGTTTTCCTTGCACAAAGAAAGTAGATCTTGTGTGGATGAGGTCAGGTCAGGATTACCTGGAGCTGCAGAACTCGAAGAGTTTACCGGTGGAGGAGAAGACGATGAGCGCGACGTCGGCATCGCAGAGGACCGACAGCTCGGCTGCCTTCTTGAACAGGCCCCTCCGCCGCTTCGAGAAGGTGACTTGCCTCGCCGCCGTGTTGTCTATCTTCTTTATCTGGATCTTCTCCCTCACCATCGTCTCTCCTCCCGCAGTCTTCAAGATCTGAGCACAAAGAGGGTACCAAAGCTCCGGATGACACAACTAGTGGCAACGAGATGCACGTAGACATGTAGATGGGGCGGTTTAAGTAAAAAGAAGCAGGTAAAAGAGGTCCTAGTTTCCAAATCAAGCATTACCAATCAGGAGCGTAGATGTTCTGGGGGGAAGGAAGATAAGATGAATAGATTAATGGAGATGTGGAAGTGGAGGAGGGCTATTGGGAACCTACGCAATATGAAACGATGGAAGGCAATATGATCCAAGGGCAGCCGGAGCTCAAGGAGACCCGGGATTGCTCTTCATCTGTCTGCCAACAATACTGGAGAGAGGAGGGATGGCTGCTGGTTCATGGCTGGGTGCCGGAAGAAGGGGACCCCCTTTTATGGTAAAACAGTACTCTCCCCTACCGCCCCTCACCTCTCTCTCTCTCTCTCTCCAAGTCTCACCCAACGCAGCATCTGCTACAGATGTCAGATTTCGTGCGGTCAGCCGTACGATGGAGAGTAAAAATCTTGACGAGACGGGTCCCCAATGTTCGCGTCCCGAACACACACTAGACTCGGGATGAGTGGGGTCCGCTGACCACCCAGAGCGGGTAGCGTTTGTGTGGATTTAGTGCACCATGTTTGTATACACGTACGTACGAAGTATGTATACGCTACATGGCAGACACCAAAGGCGAGGAGCGCGTGGGTGGGGAGCCTTTTTGGCCACGGTCGTACTACGAGCCGGGCCCACCGCGGCTGCGGCGTCGCAGAGCCCGAGCCAGGTACTCCGACGGCGCACGCACGACTCTTACGCGCCGCGTGTGGGGCCCCAGACCTGGCACATTCATCGCGCCTTGTCACTGTTTGTTTTGGTTGTCAAGAAATGTTTTGTCGTGCCATACTTTTTTGTGTTTCTGAAAACAAACATTTATTATTATTTTAAGTGCAAAAGGCCAATTAGCTGCATTCCAAAAAAATTTTAATATCATTGATTTTGGACCTGAAAAATTAGGGATTAATAGTCATCGTCTCTTATAAGGTGGTATAGTTTAATAAAAAAAAGTTGTAATAATAAAAAAATTTTAAGCCTCAAATTCTGTATTAATAAAAATTATTCCTAGTGTCTCTTTGCATGCCATCCTACAACCACCCAAGATGACATTCTTATAATAAGTGGATAAAGTGTCCGATAGAAGATAAGATTTATGAGGAAAATCCTTCTGTTGAGAGGTATAAATAAGAGAGAGAACATGTTAATGTATCGAAGCATTTTTATTTTTTCGATAAAGCTTCCAGATTTTTTCGATAAATATTTTTATCTTTTATTATGGATAAGCTCTTAGTGCAGCGCCAGTTTTCCATAGTATGTAACATGGTACAAGCTCCACAGTGACATGGTTGGAATGCATTGTAGCTCAACAGTGACCGTCAACTCTCGCTGACATCAGCTTTGAGGATATCACTTCTACACAAGTGTTTGGTCAGATGCCTCAAGCAATTTACTTTGACTCGTACCAATAATTCTACGTCAAATTAATTTGTATTAATTCTAGATGTAATTTTTCATGTTTTTCTCATTTATGCTGCATATCTAAACGAAATTAAATACTAAAACAAATGTAAAAGGAAAGATAGGAACACGGTGTGACACAAGGACGGTGGGGTCCTGGGATCAGTGACCCACACCATGCCCTCTTACAGTAAGGATGGGACGCACAACAGGGATGATGTGGTCTCGGGTTCAACTGACGCACGCCATACCCTCTTGCGGGTAAGGAAGGGACCCAACACGAGGACGCTGGGTCTCCCAGTTGAAAAGACTGAAATGACCCTCCGTTGAAAGTGTTTCCGTTGGAGTTCAAGCGATGAACACTGACGGCCGTCGCGGATGCCGGGAGGGGGCGGCGCGGTGGCTGGAGCATCGCTATGTGGATCCCGTGCCCCATCCGTAGCGGAAACCAGGCCATCGTCTTCGCCGACATCATCTTCGCCTCTTGGCGTCGCGCCAACAACCACGTCGACTGGTACGCTGTACTCAAACTCGATCTCTCTTCCTCCGCCGTCCGCCACCCACGTTGAGGAAGAATGTCATGCCGTCAAAAACCAAGTCGACGGGTTGTTAGGGAGCCAAGGCAAGTCGATTGGTGATCAATAACAATTCCGGGGCTGGAAGCTCTAAGTAGGTAAAGAGGTAGTTTCAAATACTGGTAATGAGATATTGGAAATGAGTGCTTTGATGTGGATCAAATTTACTCTCGTCAAAGTGTTAAAAGATACAGATGTGAAGAAAGAGAGTGCTCTGCAATCATTTCTCAAATAGTAATAATTGGATGTTATTAACCAATACCAAACGAAATAAAAGAAGAAAAATTAAAATTTAAAAGAAAAAATTATATTGAACTAAAAATAATATTTATAAGATCTTAAATACTCTTTAACTTAGAGCTCTATAGATCTGAATAAATTTATACACATAAATGTCATTTATTTATAGGTATAGAATAACAATTTAAATCAAGAGATTATTATCTTTAAAATTTTATCTAATTAATTTATTTAAAAGATAAAAGATAAAAATTTTAGAATCCTCCAAAAGGTAATACTTTAAATCTTAATGCTACAATTGATTTTTTAGAATTTTTTGCATGGGTTAAAATCATAGAGGTTTGATCATGAACTCATCGATGGATAAAACTCTAGTCGTTGAAATTTATCATTGTCTTGTTTACTTCTGTTTTAGTTGATAATGTTATATTATATAGTCCTATCTAATTAGATAAGATATATTATAAAAATGATTAGATTCTGATTACGGTTATCGACTAATAAAAAAAAAGTTCAATCATGGTAGGATTCCTCAGGAGATTGATGAGAGGGACTCTCCTAATTACTTATTCTATATCCTCTACAAATCAGCATCGCTATAGCTTTTGGATCCGACGATTATGCACTTGTAAATCAAATAAAAGCTTTTTGAATGGCATCGAAAGGTACACATTGTAAATTTAGATATATTGTTATTTGATTTCAGATTTTGGTATTAAAATTTTTCACATAACAGAAGTATAAGGATGGTTTTTATACTTACAATTGGTATCAGAGTCATATTTATGAAATCAAATACTTTAGATCTATTTGTTAACTCTTTTTGCTAGCGTATGATGCATAAACGATTCATCTATGTTGCCAATCTGTTTTTTTCTATCCAATTTATCTTATCCTACTTGCGGGCGATGTGAGATTCCTCGTGCTTGATCAATGGATCACTGTTAATAGCTTACTATCAACAATAGTATTATTGAGGGCAACGACCTTCGGTGGTTGTCAACATAATTGCACGCAATAGTTGCATACCCAATACAAGCACTATGGAGTGCGACAACCCTACGATAGTTGCGCAACATTATTGTGTGCAACAGTTGTAGTAGCACCATTACACGTGGTGGTTGCGCTTTGTAGTGTTACTATGTACAACGACTACACAGCGTCGCTACATACGGTAACTGTGCTTGCTAGCCATGGCCGATATTAACTGGACGCTAAAGGCCATGGTTTCCAATGGCTACGCAGCAAGACATGCAAGCATAGTTGTGCGCCGCGACGATCATGGAGGGTACTAATCGGTGCATGTGCACAACCACGCGATTGACGATGCACTGCAAAGGCATTCCACCTATGAGGAATGCGGCGACAAACCGAAACGACTGACAAGGTTGTCGATTGATCGTCTGAGGTCATCGGTCGATCGTGTGATAACAACCGCCCCACCACAGGCGATGGGCTGCACGTAATCTATGGATGACGGGCGATGCATGCACGACAATTATTGACTCATGCGTGTGGGCATGGTGGAATGCGCGGCGACGACGATGAATGTAAGGGTGGTTGGCATTATGATTTCTTATAAAATTATAGTTTTACCCTTGTAAATTTATTTAATTCTAATTTATATCTTTTTGATAATTTTATCCTTAAAAAATCAAAAGTTTTCTTTATATATCCTAAGTAAAAACTATAGTTTTACTTTTTAGAAATTAAAATTTTTTAACTCATGACTTCAATTATAGAATTGATTAATTTATTTTATTTTAATTAAATATTTTGATCTGACTTGATCATTATTGTATTTTAATTACTTAACTAGATTTAGATTCAATCAATTAAGTTTTGATTGAATTAGGAGAGAAGTCAAATTTAAAATAATTTTTTATTTTTATCAGCTTTAATCCTAATGAGCTAATCAAGCAAATGGTCGACGTAAATTTATAAGCCCAATTTGGGTAGCCTAATTTTTAGTCTACCTAATTAAATATGGTTGATTGGTATAAGGGTTTCATACGAAATTTTTAAAAAATATATAATAATTTTTATTTATAGTTTTCTCATACATCATATTGATACAATTTTACATGTGATAATTAAAAACTCTAATTATTATTCTTGGATATTTATTTGGTTATTCACATAAAAGTATGATTTATTCTTTATCATGATTATGAGTTTTTCTTTATGCTGATTAATATTCAATAATTATTATGATTATTATTATTAAATTATTTTAACATAAATTAGATTAAAAAATTAATAAATATTATTTATAACTCGTATCCCTAAGTTTTATTTGATTAGTAGCTGTCAAAGTGGTCTAAAATAGTAAACTTATGAGATGTAAATTAAAATAAAGGTCTTATCGTTTATAAAATATTTTATATTATTATATTGGTCTTGTAGTCACCAAAGTGGTCTAGACCAATAACTTATAAAATTATATTAAAAAATTAATTATAAATAATATTAAAAAAATAAAATTTATAATGACACATATAATTAGAAAATTTAGATAATCATAAAGATTAATTTATTTTGAATAATTATGTGATGAGATAGAATGATACTATTTTAGATATCTTTATTATTTATTATTATATATCTAAAGGTAATAAAACTATTTTATGAGAATAGTATCAATCCTCCATAAATATTTTTATATGAATACTACATATATCAATATTTCATCCAAAGATAAAATAGAGACAATATCAATAGTTCAATACTTATTGAAAAACTCAAGGTAGTAATATTATTTTTTTTATAGTGGTGCTTCCTTCATTATATTATGATAAATATCCTTATATTTTTTGGATTAAATTATTATAAATGACTTCAACATATGTAATTTACACTAGGTGTATTAGACTTTGATCAGTTGAAAAGACCACAGACTTAACTATCGAAAGTTCTATGAAATGAATAATTGAGATAACTGATCAAAAAATATCTAAAAGACTTAGTTTTATGATAATTACTAATAATATTCAGACTTCATTATAATTTATAATTAGTGTACTAAAATATTTTAAAAATTAATTTAAATTTAAGATA